ACTATTTGGAAGAAAATTGCATAACTCCAATGAAAAAGCCAATTGTATTGTATTCGGACGGATGTGGTTACCAGAATCGTAACAATGTCTTGGCCAACGCTTTACTCAATTTTGCAATGAAACACGAAACTTTTATTTTTCAAAAATACTTAGAACCAGGTCACACCCAAATGGAGTGTGACTCTGTACATAGTGTGATAGAAAGACGTCTTAAGCACAAAGAAATTCATTTACCAAGTGACTATGTGACAATATCAAAAGAAGCTCGAAAAACCCCCACGCCATATAAAACTAAAATGCTGGAGTACTCATTTTTTAAGGATTATTCCGCTTCCAAATTTTTGCGATACACTTCTTTAAGACCAGGTCGTAAGACTTCTGACCCTGTGATTAATGATATTAAGTGCATTAGGTATAATCCACAAGGAACCATAGATATTAAACTGGATTATGGCCAAGATTTATTTAATGAGCTTCCTTGCAGGCCAAAATGTATGCCTCCTATTATGAACTATCCTCAGTTACTGCAGGGACCTTCTAAAATTGCTTTGGATAAATGGAACCACCTTCAAGAACTTAAACTCGTTCTGCCAAAAGACACACATGCTTTCTACGATAATATTTTACATGAATAATTCTCCTCGCCAATTTATTTTTTTTAGTGATTATGAAACTTGCAGCTAGTTTTAGTTTATTTTATTCATGTTTATGTTTACATTAAAGTATTGTTTTAAAGTTTATTACCATGTATTAATTTTCCCTTGAGAAACCTACGTTTTGGGTATCATTTTTCTACAAAAATTTCTGTATAAGCTTGCTAAATTCAAAAAATTGTATACTTAATTAGATACTGCATTCTCCTATGAGAACAAATTTCTGTAGCAAAAACTCCTATCTGTAAAAACATGAATAGCAATACCTCACAAGTTATATAAAAATAACACCGGGTAAGATTGTGGCGTTTTTATTAAATTTAGTATAATATAATAAACATTAAAGAATAACTACTTCACATTGTTGAAAAATACCATCTCTCTACAAAATTGACAAGTTTTTTTTGTCTCCTGTAAAACGTCTCTTAACCAACATAGGAGGTATTGCCAGGTCACCCGCGATAATTTTGTTTGTTCTGCTAGCTGCTAAGCAAGTTTTCGAGGGTCTCTTGGTGTAAGACCGAACAGGCGATTTTCCATATCTTCAATAAAAGTAACCAACTTTAATTCTTGTTCAGGCGTAAAGTGTCCCATTCTAGTCCAGGCGTCAAGAGATATTTTTGCTGAAAAAATTCCTAGGGAAGATTTTTTTTTCGTCAATCGCTTCTGTTTGTATTTTAAGTTAATTTTTTTGTAATTAGTGGACTGAAGGACCATAAGATATATTTTTTTTTTGGTTAAATGATAATTTCCGCCCGAACCATACAAATACTTAAATAAAAGTTGGGCACGTACCTGGAGCTGATGGGGGCCCCCAAAGATTGGTTTGGTTTTTCACTTTTTAAATTGATAAATGCACGTGAAACTAGTGCATACTTGACTCTACTCGTTCGCACATAGTTACGTCTTCGCTCGCCCTTCTCTATTCATTTTTAAGCGTTTTCGCGAATCCGCCCGAGTGCCCGATTGTACTTGTATGATTTGAATTTATAGCGCGCCGGAACAACTGAGGTTTAAACAGCTTCGTTTTACGTCATGAACTTCAAAAAATTCGGCCCGGAAGTATATTTTTTTCCAGCTTGACCAAAAAATCGGACCATTTCGTGTTTTATTGCAAAATAACTCAATAAATATCGTTTTTACGTAGAGTGACTCCATCTGGTCGTTTTCCATCGTCGCGTGACAAACCTACAGGCTGCATAATTGAACAACCCTTAATTGATGCAAGAGCTCTCAGAATGATGTGATTCAGCTCTGTGTCTTCCCTTGCTAGATAATCAGCTTAAACCGTGATTCCCATTTTCCTCTACAACCAGTGGCGTCGGAAGACAGAATTCCAGGGAGGGGCAACGTCATCAAAATAAGGAAATTAATAAAAATGATTTTATTTATACATTTATTCGTAGGGTATCGGTATACACTGCAGCCTATGCATATTTATCAGAGAAGGCAAACATCAAATTCCTTGGAGTTTGAGCAAATATATCCAAGACACTTTGACAAAATTGATCAATATCAACTTTCACCTTCTCTCGATGGACGCTTAACATACATAATCCGTCAAGTCGTTGTGTAGTCATTGTCGACCTTAGCCACGTCTTCACTCTCCTTAACGTACTAAAACTTCTCTCGACAGTACACGTTGTAGGTGGAAGGGTCATAAAAATAATGATCCCTTTAGCTACAGCGGGAAAAAATTCAGTTTCCGCCAAAGCGTCATGCAGTGTCATATCTGCAGGAATTGTCTTGCTCTTCCAATAATGTAGCCACGTATCAGTCTCTTCGCAATGGTTTTCTATTCCGTAAAATTGTTCAGCAGATTTCAGCTGAGCCATAAGGTGTGATTGTTCGGTGCTTGTAACAAATTTTGGATGTAGTAAACTCAAAGCAAACGCTGGTGTGTTGGTCTCCTCGAATAGGCTCGTTATTGAAGAAATAATAGAGTCCAAATATGGTACGTAAAGGATCTTACGAAAGTATTCTTCCGGAGCGTTTGTACCTAATGCCGGGTTCGATCTATGTTTCTGTCGCTGAACAATGCGCGGCATTTCCATTTGTTTGCCGATTTTATTTCCTATTTCCGTAGCTTCCTGATAAATGTTTGCAAAGTAGGTTTCATGATCACTTCTGTGTTTTTTAAGGGTTTCTTCAATAATACCTATGTGGTTTTTTACATCTAAGAGATTGATGTTGATGCCTTGAAGGGTATTAACCACAGGTTCTAGTTTAGAACTGTATTTTGCTATTATGACCATAGCAACAATAAAATTGGACTGACAAGCCGCCAGATATAGTTGGTGAGCTTTTGAGCGTGTAGCTGCATTATATTCTGCATTTGTAGCAAGATCTTCAAGGGCATGAATTATGTTGATAAAGTTCTCGTAGAAGATTCGGATAGATTTATATTTTGCGGACCACCTAGTTTCACACAACAGAGGCAAATTTGCGACTAATCTTCTTCGTAAAACACTTTCTCGAAAAAATTTCACGATTTCCTTTATGCTGGAACAACAGTTTTGAATTTCCCGAACCGCACATAAGTCATTAATAACCAAATTTAGTCGATGTGACGCACAATGGAAAAAGTTTGCTTTAGGGTGTTTCATTTTAATTCTTTGCTGTACACCTGTTTCTTTTCCAGCCATGGTTGCACATCCATCAAAACCAAGCCCTACAAGTTTGTCCATGTCCAATCCACAATCAGCAAGTACCTTTAAAATTGCATGACTAATTGCGTCAGCATCAAGTTTTTCTAGTTGTTGGAATCCTAAAAATTCTTCTTTAATGTTGTAGTTTGAGTCGACGTACCTAATGCCGATTGACAACTGCTCTTTTCCTGATATGTCAGCCGTTTCGACGGCCAAAATAGAAAAACCATAACCTTTATTAACTTCATCGACGATTTGTTTTCGTAGTACTTGACCACAGATGCCTATTAGTTCATTTTGGACTTGAACCGACGTATACTTTGCATTACCGGGGCAGTATTCTAAATGTTGTTGCAGTACACGATCTCCTGCATGTATTCTGAATTTCAGCAAGTCTACAAAATTTCCACTGCTCGATTCTTTTCCACGAAGAGCAAGATCATGCGTCCCACAAAATACGATTGTAGAAATTATGGGTAAGAGTTTTTCTCGATTATCTTTAACCTGTTTTGCCATTGAGCTGTCAATTTGCTGTACGATGTCCATTTGCGTTCCATATTTTACAGATTTGAAATTGGCTGCCATTACACTCGATTCTTTGTGCCACTGTGATGATACATGATTTCGCGCACATTCGTGCATGTCTTTGAATTTACGAAAAGGCGAAACGACGAATGCACCCATAACACCTCTTTTTAATGAAGGCTTAAACAGAACGCATGTTTTGCAAAGAGCTCCTTTCAAATATGGAGAGTAAACCAGCCAGGGGTATTTGTCTAACCACTCCGCTTTGAATATTCGCTTACATCCCACACTATCAGCGTCCAACTTAAAATTATAGTTTTTACTTGGTATAAAGCAATCGACCAATAACTTTAATTTGACATCATCTTTAACTCCTGTCTTATCGTTATCCTTATCTACATACAATCCTAAATCTAACTCGCTGGTAACAGACGAAGACTGAGGAGATACTTCGGATGCTGCACTAGGAGTTGAACGAGAAAGCTCACCTGGGTCATTAGAGATAGTTTGTACAGCATGAACGGGAGTTTCGTGCACGATAGAGGAGTTTGAATTTTCATTTGTTGACTGCAGTCTTGACCTTTTGAAATAACTGCGGATATCCATGGCACGGGGCACCGCTGAATAGTGAATACTGAACGCAGAACGCTGAACGCACAACTCAGTTTAACACTAATCTAATGCCTACTAAGCGTAATGTTGAAAATATAACCGACGCGACGCCGACGTACAATGAAAATGTACAGTAAATATTGAATTTAGGCAGTTTCACACACACAAAGTTTGAGCCAAGATTTTCGGCATTAGTAGTAGTTATGTAGTACTAAAACAAAACGCTAGACTAGAATTGTAAAACTGAAGGGCGTGCACTCGTGAGTCACGAGTGACTCATGCAGTGTTGACTGTTGTCTTAGGAAGTGGGGAATTTTTGCACATAAAATGCTTTATTTTAAAAAAATATCGCACATCGTAAATTACATTTATCTAGGTTATGTTATAGGTATTATAACAAAGAAATTAGAAACTTCTTTATTTTGAATGTTACGCTTACGAATTACGAAACGAAAAGATACAAAGAGTGCCGGTGCCGACTGCCGTGGCAGGGCGCGGGCACTTTAGATATACGATTATAAGAACACGTGCGTTGCGCTGGCCGCTGTTTACATTTTGTTAACTGTATGACTCACGGGCGGCCGGGCCGGGCGCAATTCGTTTGTTTTGCTTCCATTAAATCTGTATCTAATTTTTGTTTTTCCTGTTTTCCATAAAAATTATATGGGCTATGATGTGGCATGTGCATAATGTAGATAATTAAGATTATGATTCAATTACCCATTAGCGTATTTTTTTCAGTTGTACTTGTACCGATAGAATTGTCAATTGTACTAGCTTTTCTAGCTCTTGCACTGCGGGTCCGGGTTGTCTTCCAGGGGGGGGCCGTTGCCCCTCCCTGCCCCTAATATGTGTTTGTTGTAACGGGCCTTTGTTCAATAATTCAATAAATAATAGGTACGTAAATATTTCATTTAAAGTTATACCGTGAATGTTTGTGGCAGGTAAACTAATGATGTGATTCTGTAGGGAAATGTTACGGTTTAGCAGTCTGTTAACGGTTGAAATAATAGAATGTTATAACTTTGCTATTCTATAACTAGAAATACGCTCTATTACGTTAAACTTTGGTGAAACATGACTGCAAAATAACAGTTCTGTTAACAGGCTCCGAAGATTAGCTGTTATATCCCGCGAGAGGATGTAACGATTATATTTTGAGGTTATAAAATGTCTAACTGACATTCTGGTTAGCATTTTCGCGAGCGAAACAGTTCATTTCCTTCATTGAAAGTTCGAAATTATCCGGGTTACGATGAACAATAATCTGAATGTGGTACCAATGTTTGTGTACATTCTTTTAGAGGAACATGAAAGAAGAAACCAAATGAGGTTATGAGAGGGGTACGAGATACACAAAACCTATTTGAAGTGTTATCAGATCGTGAATTTGTAAAAACATTTCGCTACAGCAACGAATTAGCAAGAGAGCTGATACCCTGGAACCTAATTTAAATGTAACCAGAAGAAGTGCTATTCCGCCATATCTGAAAGTGCTGGTAGCGCTACAATTTTTGGAACACGGGGCATACCAACATGGTCTTGGATGAACATCGATCACTGCAATGTATCGGTAGAGTTATTTCCACAGTATGCACCTTGATAACCGAACTATTAATGCCAAATTGGATCAAGTTTCCTACGACGTTACAGGAGAAAGCAAGCACCAAAGAAGGCTTTTTATCAACGTTTTGGTTTTCGAGGTGTTTTAGGGTGCATAGATGGTACCCATGTGCAAATAATAAGCCCTCCTGCTATAGATGCTGATCACCCACCTCATGTATATATAAACAGAAAAAGCGTTCCCATTATCAATGTTATGCTTATATGTGATGCCAGTAGTAACATTCTAGCGTGTGATGCACGGTACCCAGGTTCAGTTCACGACTCAGCCATCTGGCGAACGTCAGACGTTAGAAATTATTTCAGAAACGAGTTTCAAAATGGGGACAGACACAGCCGTTTGATAGGTGATAGTGGTTATCCTTTAGAGCCATGACTTTTCACACCTTTTAATGTCGTTCAGGCCGATACACCACAAGCTCGATGCAATGAATTACATAAATCAACGAGAAACGTTATCGAGAGAACCAATGGCATTATTATAGCATTCACTTCACAATTAGTTCTTCACTACCATCCTGCAAAGGCTGCGTACATAATATATGCAGCAGCTGTGCTTCATAATATTGCATTATGGGCAAATTTGGAATTACAGGAGGGCGAAATGGTATTAGATGATGTGGAACATGAACATCAAGACGTGTTGAATAATGAAAATTTGCTACAGTTAGGAAGAAGTTGCCTTCTCAATTTTAACTTTTTCCTCATTGATGAGCATTTTCTTGAGGGCGTGGTCCGTGTCACTTTTATATGCGGCCAGAAGTTCCTCTCCTATTACTTTTATTGACCGATGTTTCGACATGTTGTTTGAATGCTTCCTTTTTCGCGACGCAAAAGGCATTTTTGGCTTTGTTAAGAGACCCGAACCACTACCATCATGTTGATTAACGACCAATAGGTTATCATGCACTTGACGTGTAGAATCATCACCATCCAGATCATCTGTCAAATCCCGTACGCTAATGAGATCGTTGTGATCATCAATCACGATTTCAGCATTTTGGATTACTGTTTATGGGTTGACAATCTCATCATCTACCACTGCTTCTACTTCTTCCTCTGGAGTGTACAGTTGCAGACCTCCCGCAACTTTAACTTTTTTAGAGTCCGTAAGAACAACTCGCCCCCATACATCCAGCAAACGTTCCTCGAGATCGGTCAGTTTTGGCTCTGCTGCAGGCCCCCCCCCGTTCGATTTATGTCATCATTCTTTTTTCGATATTTGGCCCGGGTTGTATTTTTGTAGTTGTTGAATCTCTGTAATAGTAGTACGCAAATGTGTTAAAAGTGAATTTCATGACAGAATAAGGAATTATACCGTTTTCCATTCGTTCACTGATAGTTCCGGGCCTGAATCGCAGAAGTTTAAAGTTGATGCAAGTTTGATCCATTTTGCTTCTATGTAATCATCGGGTTCCAGGGTAGGGTTAATGGTTTTCTTGCGGAACACCACGTCCTCCTCCATTAATCTAATATACTCCAGCAACTGCTCTTCGGAAGTTTTGGTAGGCCTTTTTCTGCTTGATTTCGCCGCCATTTTTCACGAGGTTCGACTGGTCTTTTAAAGATACTAGTAGAACACACACTCACTGAAATTAAAATGAAAAACCGCGACAACTTGGTAAGAAAACGTCAACTGCCATAACGCACCTGTTCATTAGATCGAAAATTACATTTTAAAGCTAATGGTATGAATGTTACGTGACGCTTAACAAAATTTGCTTCAAGTTTAACATTCTCTTAAGTCCATTTTTAACATAATAAAAGTAACACTATGCTACCTCGTTTCTACAGAATAAGACCATAAATTAATTAATATCAATCGCATTAAATAATCCATGTATTTTGTACATAAAACTAGGTACATTATAACATTAGTGTTTTACTTATTAAGTACCTACAATTACAAATGTGAAATTAAATTTAAAAAGAACAATTAGTTATTCTTTAAAAATTGCTTGTAATTTATAATAAATTTCATCTCTCGATGCAGGTTTTCATCTTGAAGCCGTGATGCAGTCAATTCCCGTTCAAAACGCTCCATTTGGAGTTGGGAATTTCTTTGTCTGGCCTGGAAAATTGTCAGCATCTTCTTCAGACACCCCATGGATAACCCTCGCCAGCTCTTGGGGGGTGTAGACGGCTCGTGCCATCAGATGGCGACGGTGGTGGTGGTGGCGCCGCTTCTTGGTCGATGGCTGCTGAAGACGGCGGAGAGACGTTTTTATAAAAATCTCTTAGTAATTGCATATCTTCTCCCCCCCTAGGCAACGGGGCACTGTAACAATAAGAAAAACACAGTATTAAAAATAGATTGTATGTATAATAAAAGTAACTTACTGAAAGTGATTGTTGCCGCCGTTATTTACAGGTAGTGGTAAATTTGGTTGTTGTTGAGCTGGATTATTTCTGTAACGTAACATTAGAATAAGTATTTTCATATAAACCGAGGTACAGTAATGAGTAAACTTACGGAAATTGATGCACCCATCGCGGATTGTGGATGTAAAGCTACCATTTCTGGCGGCTGCGTTTGAGTATTTGACGGTGGTAGCGGCGCAGGAATTATAATATGCTCCAATATTTGTACTGGATACTGGCTGTAAAAACATACCATTTCTGGCGGCTGCTCGTTCCCCTAACTTCGCGTCGGAAGCTTTTAACCGTTCCCAAGCTTTCCGCTCTAAAAGGTGATCTGCTTGATGTCGACCTTCAAAGTCTTGGTTATTCCTATAGCCAATGTCGTGCTCTTTTTACACTGAGCGTCTAGGGGATTTATTCCGGGATCGTCTCGCTTTAGCCTTTTATCTAATTTAGTACCAGGTCCGCAATACTGATAACCAGGAATATGTAGTTCAACTGGAAGTTTGTTTATGAGATTATTAACCAAGCCACTCCCATCCGTACACTTCCGCTTCCGATTCAACATTGTTGAAATGCGGCAAGAAGTGTCCATATTTATAGGAAATCCTCCATCAAATAAAAAAAATGCTCAAATAAAGTACGTTTATTGACATATGTGATACATAAAATAAGTAGGTCGATAGTATAATAATTCCATCATGCAAACTGTATTGTGAGAATTTACGTTAAACCTATAGTTTAACACGTCTTCAATATCGCGATAGATGTTGTCATCGTCGGCCTGACCAAACTCAATTTTACGAAAATGACGGTAGTTAATCACCTGTTCGATAACATCCTGGTAGCAACAGGACAGAGTGTACGATTCCAGTAAATCCAAGCGATAGTTGATTCTATCTTTTAGATTAAACAATTCTTCAACGACGTACTTACTCATCGTGCAATAATGCAGCTTATCACGTTGTATTGTTACGCTCTCCAATATTTTCTCAGTCGTGGTATCCCGCACAAATTTCCTGTTATAATGAATAGTAAAATTTGCGTTAAGCGATTCAGAACTTTTGTCGTGCTCAATATCTTCTTCCTTAACATTGGACCAGTCGATCCAATTTTCGAGCTCTTGAGATCTGAAGAACTTCATCTCGAGATATGTTTGGTGCTTTAGAAGCATTTCCCAATCTTCTTTCCCCATCACTATCGCATTTAATGGAGAGCACGCAATTCGTAAAACTGGTGCCAAATTAAAATGCGTACTGTAGCCAATTTCAATATACTTCTTCGAATTACTTCCACCATCGTAGAGGTCATAGGAATTGATTAAACGTTCATCGGCAGCTTTACTAAGCACATTTTTCGCAAACTGGGTGGTAGAATCATCACTAGTGTCATTGTTGTGTTGTTGTTATGCCGTTTCCAGATTCACGCCGTGAATTCACACCGCGAACAACCTCGAACGTCACGGACCAAACTTTACCTCCACACTTACAATTATTTCACAGTTGACTTCGCGCCACTTTCCTATACTTTCTATAACTAGAAAGTAAGGAGTTAACGCTTATTTTTCAGGAGCGCTATATCAATGCCCATTAAGCGACTAATTCGGAACCACGCATCATTATTTTTATTTTTGTATTATTTTAGTATTTCTAAGGGTGGATGTGCATTTAAATAAGTGACACAATTTCTCTCTCATCAACATAAATGTTAAATTAGTAGTCTTCCCCGCCGTTCCAGCGCTTGTTATAAACACTTCTTCCCGGGACAAGTACTACTTCTGTACTCGAAGTACTCATAAAAGCGCAAAGGAAGGATGCACCTAAAGTTCTCAGAATCGATCAGTATTCGATCGCCATACTTGGTATTGATTAGATCGATACCAATCACTTTATACTTTTCACCGACCTTCATATCCTTGACGTTCTTGAAAGGTTTGCAGTAGGTGCTACTGTTGAGTTGATTAAGATCCATTTTAACTGATTAGCGAACACTATTCGACTGATTCCAGGCACCGTTTCTACCATTATATTTCTACAGCGGTATATGCGTGCGAACCGCCGCATTGGTATGCTTACCTGCACATACCGCAACCGTACCGCTCCCGCGCCCGCATGTCCGCGTCGATTTGCGTAAACCTTCATATTGCTGTCTGATGACCTTGAAATCTAATGCGATAAACCATTACATTGCTGTCTGGTGACCTTGAAATCTGGTGCGATATACGCTTATATTGCGGTCTGGTGACCTTGAAATCTAGTTCGATGAACGATGATTTTCTTCTAAGACGGGACACAATACCTTACAAAATTGCTCTATTTTCCTACTAAAGCGAAATCTATCCAAGGCCTTAGTTTCCCTTTTCGTGCTTCACTATATGCAAATGACCACGCGACCACCACATATCGTCAAATGTGACTTCTTCTTCATCACCATATTATGTATTCACCCAATTAAACCTCGTTCAGTCCGTTCATACGGCAATAAACGCATAATTCATAATTTAAAAAGCGTCTACAGAGCTCAATTCCCAACTTACCCTTGGGCAATGTTTTGACATGGTTCCCTAAAAGTGTCTGGTCCATACACCGCATCATGCTCAGCATCAAATAGTAATACCAATAAGGTTTGATGAAGGCATTTAACAGCCATTCGCCACATATTCCACACTAACCACATTTCAAGCTAGCATCTTCTAATATCTATATTTAAATTGCAAACACGTTTGACCTTGTACACGATCACTCCCTTGTATCGAACCATTCCCCAACATGTTTAACCGCACACCCGTTGTTCTCTCGACACCCTCAGCGCTCAACCGGCACCGCATCGGCACGCATTAAGTTTTGAGTGAAGCAAGATCGATACGACCTTGAAAGTGAGCCAAGATCGGCACCCATTAAGTTTTGGGTGAGCCAAAATCAATATGATCTTGAAGTGATCCAGCATCGGCACGCATTGGGCGCGTTCAGCCGACGCAACAGTTAGTTGAGACTGGTGACTTGTTGTTTCCTCTGAACGCAATTTGTTGGGTTGTGGTGCGGTGCAACCGTTGCTAAACTTTCCCACCAGAAAAATAATACGTTGACTTTTGTAAACGAAGTATTTTAACCTTAATTTTCGACTGTTGCTGTGCATACCGTGATATTTGTACTACTGCTGTTTTTAAAAATACAATGGACACAAATATGAATAATAAGAACTTGAAATCAAAAGTAATTGTTTTGAAGGATTATTTCATAATTAATAATAAATTGGTGGCAAAAAATGCAGGTATTATAGGAGGTATGTTTTATTATAGAAATTAATACTGTTTTTTAGCGACAACTGAAGTGCAATCACCTTCAGTTGAAGAAGAGTTAGGTGAAGGGGAAGGATTACAAACTGAAGTTACCCAAAGTGCAGAGAATATCGACAATGTGTGGGATGGTAGTGCTACTCTGCTATTACTGGACGAGTACGAAAACCACCTCCAAGAGTTTCGTAATCCCAAAATGAATAAGAAGGTGTTCTGGGATAAATTAGCCAAATCATTAAGGGAAAAGGGGCATATCAATGTCGATGGTGCTTCTCTAGACCAAAAATTTAGATATATGAAGAATACTTTTAAAAAAATTAAGGACAATAGCAAAAAGACAGCTACAGGTCGTAGTAGAGTTAATTGGAAATATTTCGATTGGTTTGAACAAATATGTGCATCGGACAAGGCGATCAATCCACCTATGCTAGTATCAACAATTGCGATCGACGATGAAGCAGGTACATCAAATAAGGAAAATGGGGATAACGTTGCAAAAACCCCAAGTTCTTCACGCAGTAGCACTCCTGACTCTCGATCTGGCACTCGTTTGGATACGTTTCGAAAACGCCACTTAATATTAGAAGAAGCACGTTTAGAAGAACTTAAGGCCATTCGTTTAGAAATAGCAGAGAGCAACAAAATAAATAGGGAGAAATTGGACCTACTTAAGCAACATTTGACATGTCATAATAATAATTAAAAAGTACTGATATTCAAACGATAGAATACATGGTATTGTATTAATATTAGAATATTACAGAAAGTTGGATTTAGTGGTTAGGCTTTAATATTTCCTTATTTTTCATTCTTTTGCTAGTTTGTAGTGTAGAATTTGTTATATAAGTATATCCTTTCCTATATACCTAGTTCTGTAGTGGCTAATTAATTGCTTGAGTAGTTGTACCTACCTAATCCTTAGTTTTTTGGTTGAATCTTTTTCCACCCGAAACCTCCGATTATAGTTTGTTGATCTCCAAGGTAAGAAAATGAACAAAAATGTTAAGCATGTGTTGTAATACTGTGTTGTGTAGATGTCTCGCAAGCCCATTCTGTCGTTAGCGACTATTTTTACATACTTTGAGGAAAAACGTACCATACAAAAAGCCGAAAATGCACTTAACAGCGGTAATGTCCAGAAGGTGCAGTTTATGCAGGAGATTTCAACTGTAAAAGGGGAAGTGCTTGCAAGCATGAAGAAGCAAGTGTACAAAGTTGAGGTTTGTACTAAATTCTGTTGAAATATTTGGAATTTATTGTATTAATTTTAGCTTATCATTACTAAAGATGGGATAGAATCAAGCACTTGTACATGCCCACGTGGTTTGTATTTATGCCATCACATGGCAGCAGTAGCCCTGTTCGTGCACTACAACATCTCCATTACGGATACTGCATGTTCGTGGGTGAAATCGGCACAAGAGAGCACTAACAAAACTGTAACCGATTTGTTTCCCAAACCATCGACATCAAGAGATTATGTCGCTGTGGCGGAAGAGATCTCCGATCAAGCGGTCCAAACTTTGTACGAGGACCTGAAGTTATGTGGGCCAACCGGAATGGGATGGTTGCTTGCCCCATCTCCCGAAGAAGACACCGACAATGTTGTTGCCAGCATCGAAGACATGGTATTTTGTGACGAATATACCAAAGCAACGGACAAAATTGGATACTTACAAGAAAAGTTACACTTAAAGGAAGAAGATATTGTAAGGATTGCAAGTCTAACTGCTGGACAACATGAAAATCCTTTGTGGTTAATTGCACGGAAACATCGGGTAACGGCGAGCAATTTTGGCAGAGTGCTTAAAGCTATTAATAGAAATAGATTCCCACCTTCTTTTTGGAAACCACTGACAGGTATGTTTGCCCTTCAGTTTTGAAATTATAATATAATTTGCTCATTTCTAGGATCATACAATTTAGATGGTGTGAAACAAATTCAGTGGGGACGAAGCAATGAAAAACTTGCTATTGCTAAATTTGAAGAGCAATCTGGTTTGAAAGTTGTACCTACAGGAATCTGGTTAACTAAAGAGGGTGTCATCGGAGCTAGTCCAGATGGATTAATTGAAGACAAGGCAATAATTGGAGTGAAGTGCCCATATAAGTACAAAAACAGCAATTTTAAAAATGTTTTAAATGACAATAGTTATATTTTAAAATATGTGGGTGAAAATTTTATTATAAATAATAATCACGATTATTATGATCAAATTCAGGGTCAATTACATATTTTAAACAGAGATGTTTGCTATTTATGTATTTGGTCAACTATAGATTTTATTGTTGTAAAAATAGAAAAAAATCAGGCATGGAAAGAAAATATTCCAAAGTTGTTAACATTTTATTATAATCATTACATTAACCATATACTGAAATGAATAAAATGATATGTTTTTTTGTTTATATAAAAAAAGGATCGGATGTTTATGTACCTATCTGCTAAATGATAAAGTATTTTACAAGTCACTCTAAATTATATTGTCTCTCAACTTCTTTAATAAGTGGGTAGTTGAGATTAGCCAAGCATGCACATACTTTAAAAATTTCACTGCTATACGGCCTCAGAGTAGCAGGTATAAAGTTCAACACTTTATAAACTTTTATTCTTCGGATAGCTCTCTCCACGTGAATTCTAGCCTTCGGTATCGCCATTGTTTGCTTAATCTCTTCAGGTGAAAATTGTTTATTCACTAAAAAATGGTGGTATATTTAGGGCAACACCAGGGGGTCGATTTTTGGCCGTACGTTTCCTTAAAACGTATACGTATTCGTAAAGAAACGTATATTTGCAATTTTTGACCATACGTTTATATTGCGTATACGTTCAAGTCTGTTCGTTTTTCTGCGAGCGGGTAAATGGCGTTCGCAAACGCTCGCAACTGACGTTTTGTGGGTTATGTATTGGTTAGTGTTGAAGTTTTGACTCTTGAGACTTGAAAGGTATCTACTAACAACAATGGATGAAGCTGTGAATGCGTTTGTAATAGACAATTTAGAGAATGCCGAACGCAATTATCGCCCGAATAGGAACCGTAATCCTTGCAACCACATAGAAGTCTTAAATGAAGCAAAATTTATCATGCTTGTGTAGAAGAGTTTGGCATCACACAATGCTAGAATTTTTAACCCGTATTTATTGGGCTTCGATGGAATGTACTGACGAAAACTGCATTTTCCTCGAAATCCGGCCAGCATCTCGTCCACGGTCACAAATTCGGAGTGGTGGAATCCGTTCTGACAGTTAGCAACAAAACGGTCAAAAACATTGCGTATAGGAGCCAATTTATCTGTTTCTCTTCTCATTGCTCGAGTCTCTTTACTGTCAAATCTTAGGCAACGAATTAGAAATCTAAACCTTTGCAAACTCATGGCGAGGCGAAAAATTTCTACACCAGACCCATCATTACTCCATAAATCTTCGGCATTGAGACGATTTGCGTGATACACACCAGCCATATAAATGACTCCAATGAATGCACGAATTTCAATTAGATTAGTCGGGGTTGCGTCTCTTTTTCGCATAAAATTATTACGAACAGATTCAATATATTCGTTGGTGCACTCGACAATAATGTCGAGTATCTCGTCGTTGAAAAAATACTCCCATATTTCCAGTGGTTCTCTCAAGTTTCGTGTTGTCAATGAGGAGCCTGGTAGACGTTTCACAATATTCATTTGACGTGTTTTGCGTGTTTTGGGATGTGAAACCACTTTTCTCCAACGCGTGACCTTATCCTTTCCATAAAACGATAATCGACTGTTGGGACTTTCTTCTCCCATTTCCTCGTCATCGGAAATATCCTGCTCGGTGTCGCTGTTCTCATTTTGCTGCTCTACACGATCCTCTTCTTCATCAGACTGATCCGTATCAGAGTGATCGTCGTATGCAATTCCTTGTCCTTCGTCGTTCAAAATTTCTAATTCTAAGAGTTCTTGCAGTCGAGCCTGTTCGCTTTCGTAAGACCACATGGCTAAGTAATAAACAATGATGTCACATTGAGAAAACATAAAAAAGGCGAAAGACTTTACCTGACAATAAAATAACCCGATTAGTCGCGCCGGTCTCTCACACCGTAGGGCACAATATTTTTGTCAAACGGTCACTTACAACACTCACATTAACACTGCTGCACCACGGCACATCATAGAAAAGATACATGGAATGGGAGGGACCTCCCACCATTATTTTCAGAATACCACTAAATAAAGTTTGTGGTCGGTCTCACAGACCGTGCGCGACTAACGGAAGGTTAAGCTTAGTTAAAATTGTAATAGTTTGTTATATTGGAATAGATTTTTTGTTTTTTGTTGGTTTTATAGAATACATCCTATGTTTTTCAATATGAAATTTTATTTTAATATTGCTCAATAAAATAAAATATTTTGGCGCCGCAACGCTTTAAATTTCTACAGATTGATCATTTCGGATAAGGGCGTTGTAATACAATTATTAGATTAAACAAACTTACCTAAGTGAAGTTTGATCATAATTGTATGAAACGCCTGTTCTGAAATGATCAGGTCCCTCCCTGCCCTTTCCCATATAGTTGCGGCTAAGCTTTAAAGAAATGAATAACTGTTCGCCCTTCGAGCCAGGGACGGATTTACTTTTTGCGTTGAGCTTTAAAATTGTGGTCCGCAGCACCTACACGAAGGTACTACAGATTGATCATTTCGAAACAGGCGTTTCATACAATTATGATCAAACTTCACTTAGGTAAGTTTGTTTAATCTAATAATTTAACTCTTTAACGCCCACGAAATTTTTTGAAGGATATTTACATGGACATCGTCTATAAGCTCAAATTGAACCAAAAATCAAATGTAACTCATATCCGGAAATTGATAATAGTGATAGTATGTATGTGTCCTCAAATGGGGACAATGGGAAGAACGACTACCAAGAGTAATATTGTAACAAAATTTATTATTGTCGAAAAACAGAATGAAAATTAAGAATGATAATTTTTAAAACACTTTCGTTCACACACACAATGTTACTTTACACTGTTCGCAGCGCCATCTTGCTTTCTGGTGGCATTCAGTACACCGCAGGTGTGCTGAAATTTTTTCTGGGTAATGTTCATCTTTTACTTTCCTGGCGGTGACTGGTACATGACCAGCTGGACGATTCTTGAATTGTGATTTCTCCTTCCCTACAAGATAATGCATAACTATGTTTCTCTGAAATTCCAACAGGCCCATTGGTTCCCCCGAATATAGCTGGTACAACCTCCATGCGTTAACCACTGCCATATTGATCATATTTGTGAATAGTACCCACACCCACTTCTTTCCTCGAATAGATTTCGGTAGTTGTTAACACACTGGTCACGTAAGTCCACTCCACCCATCGATGTATTGTAACTCTTGAAAATGGTAGGCTGTGGAACGTCAACTTTCTCCTCAGCAATACTGGACCAGCGTTTCACACGGTAGATGGGTTCTGGTGAATGGTAATTTGTGACCATAGTTACTGGACTATTGTCATTCCATCTGACGAAAAGGAGGCCTGCGTCGCTATCGTACATATGTTCAAAATATTCCCTTTCTTTTTTTTAAATGCTTTAGGTTCCAAAAAAAGGGCACTTTCTCATACGATTGTCCCTGACCGTTCCTGTAGCACGTTGTCCTCGTTCCTTGAGTAACTTGAGCAGTCCATGACTACTGAAGTAATTATCGAAAAATACCACGTGGTCAGATGGCACCGAAATTATATCCAAGAGATCTAGGATTACTCGTGATCCCAAAGGAAGAGTATTGACTTCGGGCTTTGAAGTACCCTTCGCTCCACAATAGGTATCAAACCCATATGTGTAACCTGTGGAGCTACACAGCATCCAGTTCTTATATCCGAAACGAACGGGTTTCCCTCTAATATACTATTTGCTGGTATGTCGGCCGAAGAACTTCACCATTGCTTCATCAATCGAAAGATGCTCATGAAATAAACCCCACTGCTGAAAATTTTGATTCAGTTTGGTCATAAGTGGACGCAGCTTTGACATCTTATCGTTTTTATCAAAATGATCATTATCAGCAAGGTGGATGTATTTTTTGATCTCCAGGAAACGATTGCGGGACATGGCATTTGCAACAATTGATACGTTCAGATCACAATCCAGGCTCCAGTAGTGAAGTCTGTGATACCCCGTTAGAAGAAGAATACCAACAAACAGTTTCATATCAGCCCTTGATACGAAAAAATCGTGCTTGTTTTTTTGGGAGGAATATATGTTAGTTTGTGTGACAATATGATCATAAATTTCATTGTCAGTTCATTTTTCTACATTAGTTTGTTTCTGTGTGCACATGTTAGAATAATGATCTAAATTATTACAAAAATTACACTTAGCTTCTATGGCTCTGCAATTTTGTCCTTGATAATGCAGATCACATCGATAGCACTTCGGGATGTCTTTGGATCTTCGATTTCCATCGAAGTTGTTCCGATGTCCACTGCTTCATCGTTGCTCTCATCTGTGACGCCATCTTGTTTCTGTTTTGTCTGCTGGCGTTGAAATTCGTCTTAGATATGTAGTGTACTTTGTTTTTGTTGGTCGTAATTTTTACAACCTGTTCATGCGATGATTCCATACTTTTGAACAGTCTCTAGTGTCATCGCGTCATCTTACACCGTTGTCTCATTTGCTCATCCGTTATGCAAGTCTTGATGAGGCGTCTTCTAAATCACCTAACTCACATTGTTATGCAATGGTGGTTACTTCTGTGATAAAATTGGCAGTGGGTTCACCTTCATGTTGTTTTCGTGTGAATAATTTGGCGATTAATGGTTCAATCTCTCTTTCGTTGTCCTAGAACTTGAACGTATTATAGATTCGGAATCCATCTTCTCAAACCATTTGAAGTAATTGCGCACTTTGAGTTGCTTGATTTTTCTTATCCATTTCGATGGCTCTTCAGTCATTTTTAAACCTTTGAATGAAAAACCTCCAATTCTCGATATTTCCACTGATGTAACGTAGCTCAAGAAGTAAAAATCCCGAGGTACGCAAAACAAATTCCTTCCAAGCTGATTTTTGGTATAGATGTCAAGTAACTATTCCTCTATAACATATTAAAAGTCTCCAAGGATAGGAGTGGAGCTTCCGCCGCCATATTGCCAAGATGGCGCCTAAAACGGTTTTTTTTTGCAAATATCTCGCTTCCGGTGCCTTCTAGCGCTAAAATAGCCATTATAAAAATTAAAGAAAAGGAAATTTGCTACAAAAAAAAGGTTATATGCATTTTTCTCCTAAACTTAATAGTTTAGGCGCCACATTCGTGGCATAGATGTTATTGCTTGTGAAAATCGACCTTTAAACTTAGAGAAACCGGGCCCTTTTGGAATTTTGATATTTCACCGTTACCTGTTATCACCTCCACTGTAAAGCGAGCCAAAACCAATTTATGAGGAGTTTTAACATCCTCAAACTATATCAACCATAGAAACGAGTGTGTAGGTTTTTATGTTTTATATAGTCAGTAGTGTGTTTTTGATGCGGGTGGAACATCGAACTACAAACAATGTAACTAGAAGGGAAACCGGTATAGACGACACATTTGTACCGTTGAAACCTTGCGATAGAATGAGTTGATGGTATAACTATTTCAGTCACTCTCATCGCGCCCAGTTTGTTTATTAGTACGCCTGATAGAAGCAGAAAATACGACTGTATGAATTTAAGTGAAATAGAATATATATATGATAATGAATTTAATTGTTACTAGTGTGAGAGAGATAACCACTCGTCTGGTTTCACTAATAATATGCTTGTTTCCCTTCCAGTTACGAGTATATTGTTCAATGGGTGGAATCAAGACGATTTCCGATGTAGAGTTGCAAATAAATATCATCAGACTTTTGACATCGGCAGCATAGTCGATGACGAAAACAAAGATATAATTGAGCTTTGTACATCGGATGAAGTTGAAAATGAAGAATATTTAATGAACTAGGTATTTAAGGTTTCGTTGTTTGGGTTAATGATATACAATATCAATTTGAATCCTTAATAAGAGCTTTAATTTTAAACGCTTATCATGATCATTTATTCCTTTACACGGATGGGTCAAAAACCGCAAGTGGTACCTACGGGATGTGCATTGTATGTAGATGGAAACGAATGTGAATGGTCGATGCTTCCCCATACATCCATATTTACAGCGGAGCTTTATGCTATTTGGCAAGCACTTCGCTACTGTGAGATGTATCTTGGAGAAAGTAAGTTTGTCATCGTAACAGACTCCCAAAGCTCCCTAATTAGCTTGCAAGATCCTTACACTAGGAATCCGATGGTGCAACTCGTATTGTCAAATTTTAGGCATTTGGGTACTCTAGGTAATTCTATTACATTTGTGTGGGTACCTGGTCATATTAATATTGAAGGTAATGAGAGAGCTGATGGAGCGGCGTGTCATGCGGCTGAAAACGATACCGAATTAAAGGTAGAAATATCAACTGTAAAAGATTTCAATGCATATTTAAAAAAGAAAACAAAATCATTATGGCAGCAAGTATGGTCACAATCAAACAGCTCTCTACGGTCTATTAAACCCACAGTTGACGAATGGAAAATACCTCTACTAACAACTCGCAAGGAAGCATGTATTTTGCATCGATTAAGAATAGGGCATACCTTACTGACCCATAAGTGTCTATTACTAAAAGAACCGCGACCTATGTGTATACAATGTGCAACACCTTTGACAATCGAACACATTATTTGTGAATGCCCAATATATGAACCAATGCGGCAAATGCATGAAGTGTCAAATACTATGGCGGAAAACTTTAGAACAAGTAATAATACAAAAAATTTGATACAGTTTACAAAAGCAATAAATATATTTGATAAATTGTAGTAATAATAGTTATTGGTAGTTATGGCGCTAAAGACCCTAGAAGTAAATGCGTCAAATCAATAAAAAAAAAGAGCTTTAGAAGTGTTGTGTAAACCCATCCACGC